CAACGCCGCAGAGTGTGCAGCCTCAACGCTGCTGCAACTTAGCACGCGCCAGCCAGAGTCTTCATGATCGGGCCACATTGAGTTTTAATGGCTCTACACCTCGACATCTAAAGAAGACGATTATCTCGCAGACAACAAAAAAAGAGAGCGCTGCCAGCCCGCCGCGCACGGCGGCAGCATGCTGGCCGCCGGCGCAGCCTCCGGCCTGGCGGCCCTCGCGCTGGTCGCGCGGGGGGGGGGGGCAGCGGCGGCGGGCGCCGCCGGGCAGGCCAGGCAGTCTGTCGGCAGTCTCTCGGGAGCTCTCGGGAGCTCTCGGGACCTTTCGGTGGGTTTGGGAGGCGTTCGGGAGATGTCGGGAGCTTTCGGGAGCTTTGCTTTCGGGAGCTTTCGGGGGCTTTGGGGGGCTTTCGGGAGCTTTCGGGAGCCTCAGAGAGCTTTCGGGAGCTCTCGGGGGCTTTCGGGAGTTGTCGGGAGCTTGTCGGGAGCTTTCGGGAGGTTAGATTCTCGGGGCCCCCACACTCGGGGCCGTGAGCGGAGTCTTTGTCGGAGGTTATCGGGGCCGTGAACGGAAGGCAGTCTTCGGTGGTGCTCTGCAGTTTCCAGGAGTGTTCGGTGCTCCTCGGCGGTTTTCCCACCTCTCCTGAGATCTGACGTCTCGGACAATTGAAGCATCGTGAGAAATCGCGACACAAGTTCTGATGTTCCAAGCTACTTTAGCCTTGATCACCAGGAAAGAGTTCGAGCACCAAGAAAGTTCCGAAACTGGAGGGTTTTCACGTGTGGGGCCTTGTGGAGGCGATACTCGTTCGACACCGTTTCGATATTTTTCTGGGTGCTCGGAACTATTTCTGGGATGTGGTCCTGCAGTACGATGGGAACAACGTAAGCCTCTAGGGGGGCTCTCTTGGGAGTGCTCTTTGGGCGTCTTGGAGGCGTCCTGGGGCCGAGGCCATTTTGGGTGTCTTGGAGCAATAGTTCGGAGCCCCCTTGATCTTCGTGGCCGAGGCTCATGGTGACCGTGGCCAGAAAAGCTCCTTCGTTCCTTATGCAGCGTTCCGTGTGGCAGCACGACGACTGTACGAGTAAGTAATGGTAGGAGGAGGAGGAGAAGGAGGAGGAGGAGGAGGAGAAGGAGAAGGAGGAGGACGAGGCGGAGGCGGAGGCGGAGGCGGAGGCGGAGGCGGAGGTGGAGGAGCAGCAGCAGCAGCAGGAGCAGCAGCAGCAACAGCAGCTGGAGCCGGAGCAGGACCAGCGATCGGGGCAGGTAGCTCGAGCGAGTCGGCGATCCTTGGCCACCCCTGCATGCCCCTACCCTCCGCCCATGCTGGGACACCCCGTCAGTTAGCCAGCCGCAAAGCGCCTGGACAGTGTAGTGTTTGTGGGCGAGCACTCGAAGCAGCAGTAGGGGGTGTCAGTTTCCCCCCATGACAAACCCTTCGTAATCCTCTTAAGCCTCCCTGCAGGGAGGCTTTCTCAGAACCCTCCCCCCTAGGCCCCCTGCAGGAGGGGGTTCCTGAGGACGTGCCCCTAAACCTACTACGCCCTCCTGCAGACGGGGAGGATCTTAGAACCCCCCCCTGCAACCATTCACCCCCTGGCAGACCAGGGGTTCTTAGGAAAAACCCTAAACTCGCCTGCAGTGGGGGTATCGGGAAAGCCCCCCGAAACATCTTCGCCTTCCTCGCAGGGGCTGTTTTCTTGGAACACCCCCGTTGACCTTCCTACCCCACCTGACGAGGGTGTCTTTCTAGAACAACAATTTTGTAACTATCGCCCCTCCCCCCTGCAGGGGGAGTATTGAGACAACCATTCCCGAACCCTTCTAGCCCCCCCCTTGCACGGGAAGGTGTTAGGATAACCCCTTTGCCCCTCGCCATGGCCCCCGCTGCAGGGGGGTGGTTCTTGAAAGCCCCCGTCGCCGCCACCCCCTGCTGAAGTGGAGGTTCCTAGAAATGCCTTGTTGACCACCAAAGTTGCCCAAAGGGTGGTGTCAGGACAACTTCCTTAACACCCCATAATCCTCCCCGGCATGGGGTGTCTTAAGGCATTGCCCCGTACCCCACGCCTGCATGAGTGTGTGTGTGTGTGTGTATGCTTGTGTGTACGCGCGCGCTTCTTCGCGCTACTTGCACCTGCACGACGTTCTGTCGTGTCTGTTGTTTGCCTGGCGGCGGCGCCTGTCTCGCTTGTGCCTGTCTCGCGTCGCCATTTGCTGGCTGGTCTGGCAGCCCTCCTTCGTGCTTCATCTTTTCACCACAATCTGCATGGCCGTGGCTGGATTATTGAATCGCTTCGCTCATTCCGCCGGCCCATTTCGCATGACTGAGCCTCTTGGGGCCGCTGGGGGGCCTCTTCAGCGTCGCTTGGGGGCCTCCTGAGGGCCTCTTGGGGGCTTTTGGGGCCTCTCAGGGGCCTCTTGAGGCCTCCTGGGGGCTTCTTAAGGCCGAGGGCTCGAAGTTTTGTTTTGTGTTCCCCCTTTGGGGCATCGCTTTGGGCCCTCTTGGGCCCCTCTTGGGCCGTCTTGGATGCCTCTGGGGCCTTCTTGGAGCCCTCTTGGGCCATCTTGGGGCCTTCTTGGGAGCTTCTTGGGCCCTCTTGGGGCGATCTTGGGGGCCTCTTGGGCCGTCTTGGGGCGTCGGGAAGCCGAAAAGATGGACACGCCAAAATCTGCCCAAAACCTAGGAAAAGTAATGAATTTTGCCTCTTGGGGCCCTCTGGGGAGTGCTCTTGGAGGCCTCTTGGGGCGTCTGGGGGCCATCTTGGGCGTCTTGGAACGATCGTGTGGCATCTCGGAGCACTCTTGAACCATCTTGGAGGGCTCTTGGCGGCCTCGTGGCCCTTCTTGGGGCTCTCTGGAGGGCCACGGGGGCGGCGCCCAGGAGGAAAACCATCTCTGACCCGACCCTGCCGGGGATCGCCCGGGGTACTTTTCGTCCGGGGACCCCCAGGGGCCGCCCCGCGCGAGCGGAGTAGAAGTATTATTTAGCAGTTACCGGAGATCTTAGCACGCCTCTGGCCCGTTGGGCCAGCGAATTTCATCACGGCGCGTTCGACTAAGTTCGTTCGCGATTGGCACCTCCATCTGCCGACCGCGCCTGAGGTTCCTCTGCGCCGCTGGCTTAAAAGTGTGCGTGTGGTGTGTGTGTGTGTGTGTTTTGAGAAGGAAGCCCTCTGAACCATCCTAAAGCCTCCCTGCCATGGCCTGCGCGAAGGGGGTCTTAGGAACGCCTGCCTGCCCTCCTGCTGGGCGGGGGGCCTTACTAACGCTGTCCCGTGCCCTCCCAATTGTCTCGTGTCTGGGGGGAGGGGGGGGGAGGGGGGGATGGGGGGAGGGAAAGAAGGAGGAGGACGGGGAAAAGTAGGAAGAGGAGGAGGAAGAGGAGGAGGAGGGGGAAACAGAGGGGAGGAAGGGAGACAGGAGGACGAGGACCAGTGTACACCCAAGGCGCACCAACGGTGCTGCAGTACAATATCCTTCAAAGCTCCCTCCTCGTAGGTCCCTACCAAAATATTTGTTCATTACGGCGAGTATAACGCTGGAAGACGACCGTGTGAGAATCCTCGATGGTGCCCAAACGCAATACCTGGGAATGCATCGCCGCGAATCAACGTGACGACTGCGTCATGACAGTCCTAAATCGCGCCCGAGTTCCATTTCCGGGGTTTCAGTACAGCGAATCCACGTGAATATTGCGCCCTGGCAGTCTTGAGCCGTGCTAGAACAAAGGGGATTTCAGCCTTGCGAATTCTAGAACACTGTTGAACTATTTGCAACGGTTGTGCGCGGTGTTCAGACGAGAGCGACATGTTGAAACGGAACAGCTTTTCATCATTTTTCTTGTAAGTGTGTGAAACGAAGGTGCGCGGCGCTGGGCAAAAAAACGCATGTTGAAAAGGACCTGGCATCCATCTGCGAATCAACTGCAAACTTACAAGTGTGAACGTGCGCGTCGCCAGGGCGATAACCACTTTTTGAAAAAGGGCCAGGCCTCCATTTGCGAAGCTGTTGTTGCAAGCGTTGAAGACGAACGTGCGCGGCGCTTGGTCGAGAGTCACAGTTTGAAAAGCCAGTCCTCCATCTGCGAATCCGTTGCAAGCTTCGAAGACGACTTTGCGCGGCGCCAGCGCGAGAGCCACATTTCGAAAACAGCCCGCCCTCCATCCTTGAAGCTGTTGCAGCTGTCAAGGTTCAGGGCTACTAACGGTGGGGAAGTCAAAGGCGAAACGCCCGGGCCCGCCCTTCCGACACCTCCAGGGATGCAACAGGGGGGAGTTGCGTGTAAAGGAAGCGGATGTAGAATGGGATGGAGGGGGGTTGGGAGGGAGAGGAGGAGGAACAAGAGGAGGAGGAGGAGGAGGAGGAGGAGAATACGGAGGAGGAGGAACAGGAGGAGGATGAGGAAAAGGAGGAGGAGGAATAATAATACTGCTAATAAACATAATAAACATAATAATCGTACTAATAATAAGAGTACAAAGACTAACAATCACAACCACAATACTAATACTAATCATATCAATACGGAGAAGAATAATAAACACAACCATAATACGAATAATAATAATTATGAGCATAACAATAATGATAATAATAATATTGCTACTAATAAGAAAACACGAATACGAAGAATCAGACACTACTAAGACTACTAACCATACGAAGGATAAGACGAATAATAATATGATTAAGAAGAAGAGGAATACTTCTACTAAGAAGAATAATACGAGGATGAGGAGGAGGAGGAGGCGGCACGCTGGGGGGGATCTGGCAGAGGAGAAGGAGGAGGAGGAGGAGGAAGAGGAGGAGAAGGAAGAGAAGGGGGGAGGAGGAGGAGGAGGAGGAGGAGGAGGGAGGAGGAGGAGGAGGAGGAGGAGAGGAGGAGAGAGGAGGAGGAGGACGAGGAGGAGGAGGAGGAAGAGGAGGAGGAGGAGGAAAGTTCAGGAGGAACGGCGGCGACCGCGGCGATGACGAGCAGCGTCGAGGGCGCGGCGGAGCGGAGGTCGCGTCGCGCCACCGCGGCCAGCAGCGTGCCCGCGTCGCCAGGAGCTCCTCAAATCTCCACCCCCCCTGCTGGCCTGGAGGCCCTTCGCTGGCAGAGGGGGAGGGCGGCGAGGGATGGTGTACGACGACGAGGACGAGGAGGACGAGAGGGGGGAACTGGGAGGAAGACGGGGGCGAGCATAGAGGAGGAGGAGAGGAGGAGGAGGAGGAGGAGGGAGGAGGAGGAGGAGGAGAGGAGGACGAGGAGGAGGAGGAGGAGGAGGAGGAGGAGGAGGAGGAGGGGGAGGAGGGGAGGGGGAGGGGGGGGAGGGGGAGGGGAGGGGGGAGGAAGGGGGAGGAGGGAGGAGGAGGAGGAGGAGGAGGAGGAGGAGGAGGAGGAGGAGGCGGAAGAGGCGGAGGAGGCAGAGAGGAGGAGGGCAGAGGAGGAGGAGGAGAAGGAGGAGGAGGAGGAGGAGGACGAGGAGGAGGAGGAGGAGCAGCAGGAGGAGGAGGAGGGGGAGGAGGAGGAGGAGGAGGAGGAGGATGAGGAAAAGGAGGAGGAAAAGGAGGAGGAAAAGGAGGAGGAGGAGGAGGAGGAGGCGGAGGAGGCGGAGGAGCGGAGGAGGAGGAGGAGGAGGAGGAGGAGGAGGAGCAGAGGAGGAGGAGGAGGAGGAGGAGGAGGAGGAGGAGGAGGAGGAGGAGGTCGAGGAGGTCGAGGAGGTCGAGGAGGAGGGCGGAGGAGGAGGAGGAGGAGGACGAGGGAATTTGGGAGAGGGGAGCAGAGGGAGGGGAAGGGGGGAGGAGGAACAGACTCGGGGCTACTGCTCACCATTTTCCCCCTTGTCTGCTTCCTCCATTATTTTCCTCTTCCCTGGGGGAAGGAGGAGGAGGAGGAGGAGGAGGAGGAGAAGAGGAGGAGGAGGAGGAGGAGGAGAAGAAGAAGAAGAAGAAGCAGAAGCAGAAGCAGAAGCAGAAGAAGAAGAAGAAGAAGAGGAGGAGGAGGAGGAGGAGGAGGAGGAGGGGAGCTGGAGCTGGAGGAGGAGGAGGAGGAGGAGGAAGAGGAGGAGGAGCTGGAGGAGGAGGAGGAGGAGGAGGAGGGGGAGGAGGAGACCGGATGCGGGGTGCAGGAAAAGGGGAAGGGCAGCATAGGGGGAGGGGGGCAGAAAGGAGAGGGCGGAGTGGGTGGGAGCGGTGGAGGAGGGGCGAGGGACGTTGAAAGGGGGTCGTGGAGGGGGGGCTACCTGGTCGCCGCCGTCCTGGGGGAGCTCAGTGTGCGCGGCCGCGCGACACACCGTGCTTGCCGCGCAGAGGGGATCGGAGGAGGAAGAGATCCTGGCTGCCGTTGTCCGTGCTTCCTCGCCACGGCCAGGCTCACCCCAAGGCCCTGTTCAGATGGAAGCGCAGGAGAGGTCCAGGGAGTGGCCGTCCTCCCAGGGGCAAGGAGGGAAGAGGGAGTGGATGGAGGGGGGCAGGGGGGTGGAGAAAGGGAGGGGGGAGGACGAGGGGGGAGGGAGGAACAGAATGGGGAAGATGGGGCGGGGAGGTGGAGGGGGAGGATGGTGGAGGAGGATGAGGAGGCATGGTAACAGGAGGATGAAGAAGTAGGACGCGGATGGGGGAGCGGGCAGGACGAAAGAGGCGGCGAAGGGCCTCGAGGGTATTGAAGTGCCGATGATGCGGGACGAGTCTGCACCTGTTGGCAATGATCCGGCGCAAGGAATGTCGCCGATGCTATTTGTTCCGCCCCATTCGCACGAATCGTCTTCACGACGACACCGTATGCTCTCCCAAACGAGAAACGCCGCGGGATATTTCAAAACCGTGAAGGTAGGCAATCCGCTGGGCGGTGTCACAAGGGACCACCGCGATGGCCAGCGTCGGAAGCGGGGCAACCGCGGCCGACGCAAACCCTTTAACAGCTTCGATGTTCGGGATCGATTCCCCACCGCCACCGCCCCCCAACGGCTCACTACCAAGCAAAGGGCCCCAAACAGCTTTGTTGGCATCCGTCGGCTCGAGCAGGATGCCCAGGGTAACCTTGCTCAAACCGCGGCCTGGGAGCGGGTCGCGCTTGAGTCCATATCGTTGAGCCTTCTATCCCGCGTGTTCGGAACTCTTACAACCCTTGGGGAACCCCCCTCTCGCATGCTGATGCGCCGAGGCCCCACAACGCAACCGTAACATCAATCCATCGAGCTAGTCCTCGTCCTCTGCCTGCACCTCCGCCTGGACTATGGGGTGGCCCCGGAGCTCCGACGGGACCCCAGACACCCAGAGGAAGTCTCTTCGCAGGGCGGGATGAGGAGGCGGGGGAGGAGGGGGATGAGATCCCATAGCCCCCACGGCCTTGCACCTCCTTTTCAGAAAAACTGCGAATATTGATCCTCGAGTTCAATATGCCGTACCAGCGATTCCATCCGAATCAGGTTGCCCCAAAAACCCTAAAATGGTTTGCGCACGACCATGTCAAACCACAATTTCACCATCTCGAACAATAGTTGATCCAGCTAGTAGGTTGCTTAACATGATGTGGGCGAAGGTCAGGACGCGTTCTGAGGAGTGCACATGTAGATGTACGCGGTGAGAAAAGCGCCCATCTCTCCGCAGTGAACATGTCGATCATGCACACACTTGCCCAAAAGGATTAGAACCCGCAAGCGCCGAGCTTCTGGCGAACTCCATCACAATTCCAAGTAAAAACCGCTGGAAACAGACATCAGAATGGGAAGGATTTCTATGGGTCGCAGCACCGGGTAGGGTCGCTCCCACACGGGCCAGGAAAGCAGCGCCGTGTAAGCAGGGTCCACATTCGGGGCCAGGGCCGAGGACGAGGACGAGGAAGAGGAGGAGGAGGAGGAGGAGGAGGAGGAGGAGGGGGAGGAAGAGGAGGAGGAGGAGGCAGGCATCCGGAGGCCCCAGCCCAGGCACCGAAGAAACCACCGCGAGAGCCCCGTGTTTGGCCGCCCCTGTTGGGTCGACCGCCCATGCTTCCCTGTGGTCTCCCTTCGGCGTGGCCCCGGGCGCAGGGCCACCGAAGTCCCGCGGGGGGGAGCCCTGCCCATCGCACCGGGGGAAGCGCGCTCCGCGCAGTCGATCTCTCCTCACGCGGGCCGCTTTTCTGGATCCGAGTGCTTCGTCGTTGTCGTTCCCTTCGTCTCCCCTCCCTCGCCCTCCCCTTGTCATCCTGCGTCTCCCGATCATCCTCCTGCTGCTTCAGCTCCTCCTCGTCTTCCTTCTTTTTCATCCCTCTCCTCTTCCTCCTGCTCGTCCTCCTGCTTGTCCGCCACCTTCTCCTCCAGTGTACCAGCTCGCCTTTTCAGATTGCGCGTAACACGATGGGGTGCTTTCGGGTGTTCCAGGTCCGATATGTCAGATGTGGGGCGAGTGCACTACGCTTGATATGAATACTATGTTCCACCATCCCCCGAAGATGGCTGGGGAGTCGCTCGTCCAGATTGTTTGCCTGATCTGGCTGTCCACTCCGAACGTTACGTTCCTTCCAGAATGAAATGGTGCTCCCGCTGCAGCGTGTGCCATTTTATGATCGAGGTTTTGCTTCCCTCGCTCAGATGGCGCTCTTGCCCCAGCAAGGGCCACTTTTCTTGATCCGAGTCCCTCATCGTTGTCGCCCCCCTCCTTTCCCCTCCTCCGCCTTGTCCTGGTCCTCCTGCTCTTCCTGCTCCTTCAACTCCAGTTCCCGCTTTTGCATTTCGTCCTAGTCCCCCTCATTGCTCATCCTCCTCCCTTTCCTCCTGCTCATCTCCCCGCTCATCTGACACCTCCTCATCCCCTTCCTTATATGTACGCAGCTCCCCGTTTCCGACTGCTCATCAGGCGGTGGGTTTTGTTGGTAGTTCCAGGTCGGCTATGACACGCGCCCGCGGATAGAGACACATTAGCGCAATGAGATGGGATCGGTGGGAGGGGCAGGATGGACATGGCACGAGTGCGCCTAGCTTGTCTTTCCTCCCCTCTCCTCTCTCCTCCCTTCGCATCCCCTCGACCCGAGCGTGGCACTCTACCTCTGAGAGGTGCCTGCTCCCGGGCCGCCACTGCGGCCACCCTCTCTCTCTCTCTGGCGGCGTCCTGGCGACTCACCTGAACGCATGCTCGCTCGCTCTCTCCTCCCCCTGTCCTGAGGACCTCGTCCTCCTCCTCCTCCTCCTCCTCTTCCTCCTCTTCCTCCTCCTCCTCCTCCTCCTCCTCCTCCTCGTACTTATCTTTTTTGACGTTGTGCATGCTCCTCCTCCTTCTTCTCTTTCTCCTCCTCCTCCTCCTCCTCCTCCTCCTCCTCCTCCTCCTCCTCCCCCATGCTCACTCGCCTTCTCCCCTCCGTCCTGCCCTCCGCCTCCCCTCCTCGTCCGCCCCTTCCCCCCCCCCCTACGCCCTACGCAGCTTGCTCCGAGGACCTGCGGCAGCCTTCCGCCGCCCCTGCAGCCCACGGCTCGATTCCAGACGGCTGCGCTCCGCCTCGAGCCTTCCCGCCCTCCTTCGCCCCCCCTCCCCTCCTCGCTCCAGGGCGACCCCCCGGACCCCTCTCGCGTCGTGAAGCCATCGCGGCGGGAGGTGTCTCGCTGACGCTGGCTCCTATAGGGGTGCCCCTGCTGGGCTGCGGGACCGCAGCAGACACTCTTCGAGCCCTGTCCGCCCTCCCCTCCTCGCTCCAGCCCTCCTCCGCCCTCTCCTCCTCGCTCCAGCCCTCGTCCTCTGCCCTCGCCCCTTCCCCGACATCACTCCAGGAGGCCCGGGCGCATTATCGACGCGCTGTTCGGGAAGGGCACCCTCGACAGGATGCTCGGCGGCTTCACGCAGCCGAGTGGGGCTGGGGGGGGGCCCAGCGTCTGCAGAGGCGGACGCGCACCCTGAGGTCCGGGCGCTGCAATCTGTTTCACGTCCGTCGCTTTCGCCCGTGTCGGGCCCCGGGACCATCGCACGTCGATCCGGCTCCAGAAATGCCGCCGAATGATGAGATCAAGTCGGACGGGGCCGGGACGAGGACAAGTCCGTCCCGAGCGTTCTGGAACGCTCTCAGAGCGTTCCCCGCAGCGCTCTGAGGAGGCCGCGGCCCCCGAGACATCTTCCAGGGCCGCTGGCTCTCAGAGATTCCCGATGTATCCTACCCCGAATTTGTCCTCGTCCTGGCTTCGTCCTAGGTCAAGGGCTGCCGTCGTGACCGTTCGCGATGCTGCGACTCTTTCGCAACGTCGGATCTCGGAGGAGGAGGGGGGAGGGGGAGGAGGGAGGGGGGAGGAGAGGGAGGAGGGAGGTGGAGGAGGAGTAGGAGGAGTAGGAGGAGGAGGAGGAGGAGGAGGAGGAGGAGGAGGGGGAGGAGGAACCAACACGGACGTGGAGTCAGACAGACAGACACACACACACATACAATTGTCAAATACACGTACATCGGTAATATGTATACACATGCGCATCCATAGCCGACGGCGAGAACAACAGAGAAGCTGACAGAAACGCGAGAGAGAGAGAGAGAGCGAGAGAGAGAATGTTGGGATACACCCTCACGTCCCCACGGAGGAGGAGAAGGATGAGCAGGACGAGGAGGAGGAGGAGGACGAGGAGGAGGAGGAGGAGGAGGCTCACAAGTCCCTGCGAGCCTTCCTTGTCACAGCAAGACGTGCCCGCTTTGAAGACCAGCACCCCGTGGGCCTTGAGGACTCGGGCGACAACCCCGTCTTGAGAGAGGTGGGGCAGCCTTGCATCCTTCTTGGGCTGCCTTGCATCCATTCTGGAAAAGGGTACCGTTGAAAGTAGGTATTGCTAGGTTCCCAGGTTCCAATCTATATTAAGCGCCTTCCTACATCAATGATCGAGTGGCCTCGCCTTTCGTCCTCCTCAGGGGGCGGACGGTGCACAATATTTGTTCTACGCCTTCCTACTTTATGTTTCTACTTACTTCTTCCGACCGATGGGTATGATCCTACAGTGCTCAGGCAGTCAAGCGAGGTGTTTACAGATTTGTTCTCGACTCCGAAGAGGACCTGGTCATGAACCCGAGGACGTTTCAATCGAGAGCCACAGCTTGAAACATAACCGAACTCGATACACGCGGCTGTTGGATACAATTCTCTTATTCCATTGCCTAAGTCTCCAGCGGCACCTCCACTATGAAAAGGAACCGTCCTCCGTCGTTGCCATCTGTTGTATGGGGTCTATGACGAGCGCGCGCGCTGCGCTGAGGCGAGGGCCCCAGTTGGACAAGGAACAGCGTCCCTGGAGGCCGCTGCAGGCTTTTAAAACGAATGAGCGCGGCGCCGACCCCATCTTGAAGACGGCCCCCTCCAGAGTTGAACATGCTGCAGGCTTGTGAAGCGAATGTGCGCGGCGCGGAGGCGAGGGCCAACTTTTGAAACCGACCTGCGCTCCACCCTTGGATTGGTTGCGAACCCTTGAGACGACTGAGCGCGGCGCCGAAGCGAGGTCCCCATTTTGAAAACTGCCTCTGCTCCATCTGTGAGTGCTACAACCTTTCAAGGCGAACGAGCGCGACGCTGCGGCGAGGGCCCAAGCTTGAAGACGACGTGTGTCTCGTCCTTGCAGTTGGTGCACACTTTCGGGACGGAGTGTGCGCGGAGTTGAGGCGAGCCCCATCGTGAAAAATGTTGCAGATGTGTGGGACGAGCGTGCGCGGCGCCGGGGCGCGAGCCGCATTTTGAAGAGGACCTGGCCTCCATCAGCGAAGCTGTTGCACACTGTGAAGGTGAATGTGCGCGGCGCTGAGGCGAGAGCCGCACTTGGAAAAAGGACCCATCTGCGAAGCTGTTGCAAACATGGACGACGAAGGTGCGCTGCTCGGGGGCGAGGGCCGCATTTTGAAAAGGACCTGTCCTCCATCTACGAAGCTGCTGCAACCTGTGGAGACGAATGTGTGCGGCGCCAGGGCGAGAGCCAGATTTTGCAAATGGCCCTCCTACGTCCTTGAAGCTGTGGCACACTGCAAGTTTCAGGGTCGTACAACGTGGAGAACTATCAGACGAGACGCCTGGCCCGCCTTTAAGGACAGGCCTGGGGGTGCAGCAGGGTGGGGTCATCTATCAGGAGACGGAAACAGGAACATACAGAGATAGAGAGAGAGGGAGACAGAGAGACAGAGACAGAGAGAGAGAGAGAGACAGAGAGACGAAGAGAGGAGGGGTCGAGGAAAGAAGGGAGGACGTGGGGGAGGAGCAGAGCAGCGGGGTGGGGGGTGAAGAGGCGGAGCAGGAGGGGGAGGGGGTGGGCAAGCGGAGGAGGGGGGCAGGGAGAAGGAGAAGGGGGAGGAGGAGAAGGAGGAGGAGGAGGAGGAGGAGGAGGAGGGGTCCCCCCCCCCCTCGCCCGACGGATGGGGCAGGCAGCGCTCTGCCCGCCGGGAAGCCCGCGTCCCCGCCGCCGGCGCCCCCGCCGGGCGACGAGGACGGGGACAAGCTGGAGAAGTCGCTGCGGCGGCAGGAGCCTTTTCGTCCTCCTCCTCGTCCTCCTCCTCCTTTTCCTCGTCCTCCTCCTCCTCCTCCTCCTCCCCTCCTCCTCCTTCTCCATCTCCTCCTCCTCCTCCTCCTCCTCCTCCTCCTCCTCCTCCTCTCTGGGGCTGTGGTCGAGTGGTGTGTCACGATGTTGCATTTTATCTGTGACGTCGGATCTCAGGAGGCCTCCCTCTTCCCTCCTCTCCCTCCCTCCCTCCTCTCGCTCCCTCCTCCCTCTCTCTCCCTCCCTCCCTCCCTCCCTCCTCCTCCTCGTCCCCCCATCATCGTCCTTCTCTTGGTTGGAGGTTCGAGGTTTTCAGGCGTTTTCGCTGGTTCTCGGCGGTGTTCGTTCTCCAGTAGCTGCGCCTCGCCGAGAACGGCCGCCGGAGGCCCGAGTTAGTTATGACCCGAGAAACACTCGGGGGTGGACACACCTCCTACCCTGACACGTCGGCTAAGGAATTGGCCGTTTTCGGTTCGCGAGAGGGCTTCGCGGCCGTCATTTTTGCGGGTCCAGGTCCGTCGGTTTCGGTCCCAGGCCGTTTTTCACTAAGGGGAGGTTTACTAAAGGGAGGTTTGTCCACCGCCGAAACACTTAACAAACAGCCGAAAATCAACACGGGATGGGCTCAGAGGGGGGCGCATTGACCCCCGATCGCCCACTCATCGCCGAGATGGACCCGAGAGCTCACCCCGCCCAGGAGTGCTCGGATTCGCTATCGGTGGCCAATCGCCGATCCATCGGCGATGTGTCGCCGATTCCAGGTCCGTGTCCCCTCCTAACGTTGCCCCTCACATGGGGTCCGTGGTTTAAACTCGGCAGCGAGCGAGGGGAGTAGTTGAGAAGGAGAAGGCCTTCTCAGAAGGCGGCGGGACTTCTTCAGAAGGCCTCCGGCCTTCTGACATAGGTCCTTCCTGTGTCTTCGGGGTGTCTGTTTGAACATTCTATTTGTTGCCCAAAGTCCGTCTGTAGGGGGACGTGCCCGACCTGATCGCAGCCTTGACCTCTGGCTGCCCTTCCCGGGCGCTGCGCCGCACGCGCGCGGGACTGCCACAGCCGCTTCTGGCTTCGGGCCCGTCGCCATCGTGGGCCTGCCGCCGGCCCGTCGGCGCTGCACCGCCGGCTCCAGGTCGATGCGGCGTGAGCCGGCACCGCACGTCCCAGCCGCGTCCACGCGCCCTTCGCCGCGCGACGTGCGAAGCCAAAAAACACGATCGCGTCGTGACAGATGATGAGGACGGGAGGCCTTTCGCCGTGTTCGGCCCCGCGGGGCCCCTCGCGGGGCCGCGGGGCCGTCAAGCAACGACTCGGGAGGAAACGCCGGCCCTGGGGAAAGGGTCGGGACTTCCCGGGACCCCGCATGGAAAAAATGACCCCAGTGCGACCCTACCTAGAAGTTGGAGCCCCTAGGAAAGCAGCATTAGTTGCTATGCTATGGTATGCTATGCTATGCCATGCTATGCTGCGCTATGCTATGCTATGCTATGCTATGCTATGCTATGCTGCGCTATGCTATGCTATGCTATGCTATGCTATGCTATACTAAACTATGCCATGTCATGCTAAACTATGCTATGTCATGCTACGCTGTGCTATGCTAAGCTATGCTATGATATGCTATGCTAAGCTGCGTTATGTTATGCTACGCTATGCTATGCTATGCTGTGCTCTGCTATGCTATCCTGTGGCAGGGCCTCCGGACTTGAGCCGAAATGGTTACGGAAGGCACTGCTTGCGGGAGCTCCGGTCCGGCCATCGAGGTTAGCTCGGCATCTGTCGCACATTGCTTTTGATTTGCTGCTCCATTGCTTTGCTTTTGCTTTTGCTTTGCTTTACATTGCGTTGCATGTGCTTTGCTTTGCTGTCGCTGCTGTTGCTTTGTCTTTGCTTTGCTGCTATGCTATGCTATGCTGCGCTATGCTATGCTGCGCTGTGCTATGCAGTGTTGTGGTGTGCTGCGCTATGCTATGCTATGCTATGCTGCGCCATGCTATGCGATGCTGGGCTATGCTATGATATGCTATGCTGCGCTATGCTATGCTACGCTATGCTATGCTGTGCTCTGCTATGCTAAAGCTCAACGAAGCTAGGATGAAGGTAAGCTAAGCTAAGGTAAACCTGAGCTAAGATGAAGCTAAGTTAAGCTAAGCTAAGATGAACTAAGCTCAGCTAAGATGAGATAAGCAACGCTAAACTAAGGGGACGTAACTGGGGGAACCGCGGGGCGGATACTGGGGGAACCGCCCGGGGCGCTTTCCACTGCCCGGCCCTTTAAGCCAAGAGAGTAAGAACCCTTCTAGGCAGAGCCTAGGTAGGGAAAGATGGTTGGGACTTCCCCAAAAAAGTGGTGGTTAAGATAGTCGCAGTGTGAACCGAAAATGGTCACGAGCGCGCCCCCTCGAACGGCGCTGGGTCGTTCCGAGCACGACGCAAGGAGAAGGGCTCTCTGGGAATCCCAGAGATCCACCGTGTTGAAAAAATCGTGACGGAGGTTTTTTGCTCTTTTCGGCCCTCTATGGCCTTCGCCGGGCCTCGGGAGCGTCAAAAACCGACTCGGGATGAACAAATCAAGACGGAGTTTTTTTGTTATTTTCGGGCCTCGGTGGCCTTCGCCGGGCCTCGGGAGCGTCAACAAAATCGACTCGAGATGAAGAACCGGCCCCGGGGAAAGGGTCGGGACTTCCCGGGACCCCGCATTGAACAAAATCACGACATCGGATCTCTGGGTGCTCGTCGTGCCGACCGGCGGCGACCCCAGCGCGTGCATTCGGGTCGGGTATGGCCAGGGCCCCAGGTAGCTAAGGGGACCTGGTTGGTGGCAGGGCCGGAATCACTCGACCGGGCCTGCCCTAGTGCGGGCAAGGTTCGTATCCATATACAGTGCGTCTTGGATTTTTTGGGAAGGAGCATCACGAGGCCGAGGCGCACTGGATATGGATAGAAGTCGAGCCTCTAGGGGGCAAATGTATCCACATCCAGCGCGCCTCTGGTTTCTGGGGAAGGGAACCCGAAACTCCATATCGCAGTGGGCATGGACAGAAGTGTTGCCCGCACCTCGCTGGTGTTTCTTTCGGGTGGCGGCGGTTCCGGTGAGTGGAGCGGGGCGGCGGCGGCGGCCCCCAGCACGCATGGCGCGAAACCGGGCCCCCCTCGACCCAGTTCTGCCAATGCCCGATCAGGGTCGAGCGCCGCTCGTGGCCCGGGATCGGCCCGTCGTTGAGCGATTTCGGTGTTCACGGAGCGGCCGATCGTTCCAGGTTGAAGGAGCCCCGCGGTGTCGGGGGCCAGCGCCGGGGTCGGCACGGCACGAGCCGGACGTGAGCCACCGCGCACGGTCGCCAGGGAGACTGGTGGATGCTCGTGGTCCTCACGTATACAGTCGGGGCGCTGAAGAAGGAACCCTTTCGTTGGGGAGGGGCTCCGTGTTCCTTGATTGAGTCGAAGTTTGCCTTGGGGTTTCCTTTGGTTTTCGATGGGAAATCGAAGTTCAACTTGTGGATGAAAGGGGCCTCGTTCCTTATTTAGGGTTCCTTGGGTCAACGCCCCGACTGTATAGTCTGTGTCCGAGATGACCTGTTTGCTGCCGCCACCCTGCACCCTTGTACGGCATCGAACATCTTACACTCGTCCCCTGGAAACTGCCTCAGCAGCGGCGCGGAAGAAACATGGAAAATGGATGACGTCTCCATGACTGGAATCAGCTTCGCCGCCACCATGACTGCACAGTCAACGATGAGCAGTTCGTCGTGATTGAACTGCCATAGTTTAGGACGCCAGATCTGGATCTCATGTGGTCGCTGTCCAAGACCAGGTGTTCTACCGTGTAACAGAAGGCCATGTCGCCGACCTCTCCGCTGCATAATACACTCATGCCAGTCCCCACTGCCACATTCAATGCGCGATTGGCTATACCATCGATAGTGACCAGCTGATTCCGTAATCTTACACCGAGGAGGATACGGAAAACAAACAACTGAGGATCATCCAGTGGTTTCTTACTCTCATGCATTAGCTGTGCGTCTTCACCACTCATGAAAAGTCTGTGATGTCAAGTTCGATGAACTTTGCTGCTACTGGACCGCGGACCCCACAGAGCTGCGCCAACAAGTGTTGGTTGTCTTTGAGAATTGTGTGGGTGTCCTTGGAGATGTGGACGTAACACGTCCGCGATCCACATCATCGCTCCTTCCATCGGATTCTGAGAGATTGCATGAATCGGACGCAGCACCACGCTCCCTGGTTATTGGGGCGTTTTCACCGTACACTTGAGTTTCGAAAACATCCCGCTGGTTCCACAGCGAGCCCATGACAAGAGAGCAAACGCCATGTTCATATCTACCATCTCTCGGGCTGCGTACAACACTGATTCGCGAAAGTGTGACAAGTACTCTTCTGTCAAGTCAGCTCGATACACAACCTCGCGGTATCTTGGAGAAGCTGTGTTGGCCAACCTTCCTTGTGTGAGTGTTGGTTTGCATATTCGCCCCAGGGTACTCGGGGGATGCCTGTTGAGGCCAGTTGGGACTACTCGTGGGGCTTGCTGACACGAGGGACTACCTGGGGCCGCTGTCTGCGCGCCACCCGAAGCCTTCCACTTTCGTTCGCTCCTGCTCTGTTTTCAGCCCTCCTCTCCCTCCTCCTCCTCCTCCTCCTCCTCCTCGTCCTCTTCGATCCGCCTCCTCCTCCTCCTCGTCCTCTTTAATCCTCCTCCTCCTTCTCGTCCTCCTCCTCGTCCTCTTCGATTCCTGGATTCTCCTCCCCGCCCCGCGTGCCGCCTGCCGTCCATGCCCCTCCCCCCTCGTGCCGTCCACGCCCTTCTCAGGAGAAGCAGACGGCGGGCGCCCCGGCGCGTAGCGCGGCCGCACCGGGGGGAGGGTGGAGGATCGGATGATGTCAATAATCAGGACAGTAATGCGAGCAGTTTTAATGATGCAAATAGAAGTGATAATACTAGCTTAAAAGATGATATATGTAATGATAACTAGACGACTAACATTACTGAGACAAATGATGATGCTAAGGATATTCGCAATCGAAGTAGTAGCAACAATAATCATAGCGCTACGAATTGTCAACATCATCAGCATCATCGTCATCATCATTCTCATAACAACAATCGCAATGAGACTTGTACGAGTACCACTAATACGGCTAAAACTAATACTAACAAAATTAGTATGGGTAGTAATCATAAGAATAAGAAAAAGGCGACGACTACAATTGTTTAATAATCATACGAATAGTATAACTACGAATGGTACTGCTACTACTAATACGAATGATACTAACGCTATGAATATGAAAAGGAATAACAAGACTCATGTCACTAAGAAGAAACAATGAGGAGGAGGAGGATCGAAGAGGAGTAGGAGGAGAATTGGCCTGGGCTGGAACTCCTGGGAATCCAGAAGATCTCTCCGACGACAGGAGGAGGAGAAGGACGAGGAGGATCGCGGAGGAGGAGGAGGAGGAGGAGGATCGAGGAGGAGGCTTCACGGCGTCGGGGCGGGCGCCCACCCCCCTCCCCCTTGGCGGGGGGGGGGGGGGGGGGGGGGGGGGGAGGGGCTTGCCTTCTCGACCGCCTCGGTGGGCCGCGGGCGTCGCGGCGGTGAACGCGGCGGGACAGGGCGTCCCAGAGCGCGCGCAGCAGCAGGAGGAGGAGGATCAAGGAAGCTCGAGGAGGAGGAGGAGGAGGAGGAGGCGGAGGTCGAGGAGGAAGAGGAGGAGGAGGAGGAGGGAGGAGGCGGAGGGGGAGGAGGAGGGGGAGGGGGGAGGGGGGAGGAGGAGGGAGGAGGAGGAGGGAGGAGGAGGAGGAGCAGGAGGAGGAGGAGGAGGAAGGAAGAGGAGGAGGAGGAGGAGGAGGAGGCGGAGGAGGAGGAGGAGGAGGAGGAGGGGGAGGGGGAGGGGGATGGGGATGGGGAGGAGGAGGGGGAGGAGGGAGGAGGAGAGGAGGAGGAGGAGGAGGAGGGGAGGAGGGGGGGAGGGGGAGGGGAGGGGAAGGGAGAGCACCAGTGTACGTAAACCCAAGACGCACCAGCGAGGCTGCGATACCCCCTCTGAAAAGAGCCCTAATAGAACTTGTTCCCCCCCTGCGGGAACGGCATCATTGGAAGATAAACGTCTGATACTCCGCGGCCGTGCCAAGCCATTTCTGGGACTCCAACGCCGCGAATCAACGTGACAGGTGCGTTCGGGTGATTGTAAATCGTGCAAGGACACCGTTCCTGAGATTTCAACACCGCGAAGCACCGTGATTGCTGTGTTCCGGCAAACCCCTTAACATTGCCAGAACCCCATGTTTGGGACTCGGACCATGCGAATGCGTACTTGAAACGGTTGCCAACTTTCTGAACGAAGGTGCGCGGCGCGAATGCGAGAGCCGCATGTTGAAAAGGACCATTCCTTCAGCATTGAACGTGTCGCCGACTTACAGGACGAATGTGCGTGGCGTTGGGGCGAGCGCCGCAGTTTGAAGACGGCCCACGCGCAGCCCGTGACCGAGCTGCAAGTGTCCGCCCTACATACGGCGAGAGCCACATGCTGCGCACGTCCCGCCTTCCACCCGTGGAACTGTTGCAACATCCAGGGCTCAGGATCCTAAAAGGTGACGCGAAGTCGAAGGCGAAACGCCTGGCCCGCCCTGCCAGCACACGCTGGGCGGTGCGACAAGGAGGAGCTACGTGGTAGGAAAGGGAATTGGTTTGGCGGAGGAGGCTTGAAGAGGAGGAGGAGGAGGAGGAGGAAGAGGAGGAGGAGGAGAAGGAGCAGGAGGATGATGAACAATGAGGATCGGGGAGGGTCGGGGAGGAGGAGGAGGATCGAAGAGGAGAAGTTCGATCGAAGAGACGGAGAATCGAGGAGGATCATCGAAGTGGAGGAGGAGGAAGAGGAGGCCGAGGGGATCGAAGATAATCGAAGAGGAGGAGGAGGAGGAGGAGGAGGAGGAGGAGGAGGAGAAGGAGCAGGCGGGGCGGCGCTGCGGCATGCCGAGGGATAACATCAAGGCACGCGGCAGGTGGTCGAGAGGAGGCCCGCTCTCGCTCGTGGTCGTGCCCCGCATCCTCGACGGTTCCTCCTCCCCTCCTCCTCCTGCCCTTCATCCTCCCCCCCTCCTCTCCTCCTCCTGCCCCCCCTGCTCCTCCTCCTCCTCCTCCTCCTCCTCCTCCCTCCTCCCTCCTCCTCCCTCCTCCCCTCCTCCTCCTCCTCCTCCTCCTCCTCTTCCTCCTCCTCATCCTCCTCCTCCTCCCCTCGTCCTCCTCCTCCTCCTCCTCGTCCTCCTCCTCCTCCTCCTCCTCCTCCTCCTCCTCCTCCCCCTCCTCATCATCCACATCCTCCTCCTCCTCCTCCGCTGTTGCGAGGTGGCCATCGAGAACATGATGGGCGAGCTTCAGGCGCTCATGATGTCGAAGGCTCCATGTGCGCGCGCTTCCTTGCAGGCGGGGCGAGGGCGACTATGAGGGTTGGAAGGGGAGGCGGAGGAATAGGATGAGGACATGCAGACGAGGAGATTGTGGAGGAGGATGAAGATGTGGGTGACGCGGATTGCGACGACGGTCCGTAGCCTGGCTCAGGCCGCTCTCCCCAACATCTTGGCTCGATGTGCTTAGCTCATGGTGCCTGATTCTGGTGAGTTCGATGGCTGCGGGAACCGCCCTTGTGTGTGGCGGGAGACAGGGTCTGCTTTTCGCACGGCTGCTAGGACGCAGCGGCGTGTTAGAGCCGTGCAGGCTGCAGACAATCTTGTGCGCAAGCTCAAGACGGAGTTAGAAGCCACCAAGAAGCGGGTGGAGGCACGCCAGGTGTCCGACGCAGAAGTGATCGGCGAGGCAGTTTCCCTCTCGATTCGTTCGTTGGTGGCTCCAGATTCGTTGGTTAGTATGCTCAGCGATCGCCTCACTAAACTTGGCAAGTCGCTGTTGTTGCATTGGGAGCTCGATGCCCAGCAGGGGCATCACAGCCACAATATGGGCGAGGCTCTGCGGAATGTGGCTCACCTCTTTCAGTTGCCGCCTGGAGTGCATAAGCAGTATTTGCTTGTCAAGAAGGATGGCGACAAGGCGAGGCACTCTTCGGTCACGTTGCCAGCTAAACAGGTTCACTTCGGTCAGCAGGCATTGCCAGACAAACCAGTCGTGCCCGAGGTGGTCAAGCCCTTTTTTTCAAGTTGCGAGCACATATTCGCCCAGACTGGACGCACAAGAACGGAGTGGTGTGGCAGCACGGGGCAAGTTGCGGGCAGAAGCTGCCGCTTTCGTCCCGTGTGCCGGGCGCTGGGAGTCGTTACCGGCGAAGCCACTTGTGGAGTTCGGGCAAGGCCTCGTATGCACTTTGGCGAAGCACGATGACGTGCAGACGTCGTGGCAGTTTCCGACCAGAGGCGTCCCCCCCGCCCTGGTCGAAGGCTCTGAGGGGGTGGGCGGGGCCAAGAACCCGCCGCTGGACGTGCTGTGTCAGGCTGCCCATCCTGGTGTGTCGGGAGCCGAGGACCTGAAAGCTTTGGGTGAGATGCACCGTCAGGCCGCATCCCCATTTCTTGCGAGTCGCGACGCTGAGGCTCGACCTTTTGTGCGCCGCAGGGCTGTGATCGACCGCATCATAGAGGTACAGACCCAGCTGAAGCAATGGGAGTGCATCGGAGAGCCTGGACAGAGTAGAGTGCAGGGCTTCGTGAGGCGCCGCCACCCAATCGACAATTTCCCTAGTGCTGAGCGGCGCGCTAGACATGGCTTAGCTGGCTTGGCGCCGCCCAGAGATGATGTCACATGTCCTCAGCAATGATGCCTGGCAGTTGCTTTTCTTGTATCTCTTGCCTGGCATGTGCTCGAGGACCCGGAGGGAGTGGCTTCGGTGGTCTCCCCTCGTTTGAGGGGGGGACGGCCTGGTGGGTAGTGCGGAGCGCTGCCCCAGGTGACGCCGCAGACCTCGGCTCCCAGGGAGTGGCTTCGGTGGTTGTCCCCTTGTTTGAGGGGGGCACGGCCTGGCGGGTAGTGCTCAGCGCTGCCCCAGGTGACGCCGCGCACCTGTAGCAGGAGCCCGTCCTCGGATGTTGGTCCGAGGCCCATTGTCTTTTTCCGCTCGAGCAGCCCCTTCGGTCTTGGATTGGTGGGGTGGAGAGAGAGCCACGGAAAAAAAATGCGACGACGGTGGATGGGCAGGAGGAAGATGAAGCAGGAGGAGGAGGAGGAGGAGGAGGAGGAGGAGGAGGAGGAGGACGACGACGACGAGGGGGAGAAGGATCAGGAGGGTGGGGGAGGGGGAGGGGAAGGGGGAGGACCGCACCCATGACCCCGCGTTCCAAACGAAGCAGCCCCAGGCCGCCCCCAGAACGAAACAGCCCCCAGGCCGCCCCCAGAAAGTCGCCAGCGCTTCGAGCCGAGTCCAACAACTACACATAGCTACCGCCCACGCAGCCCTTGAACCTCTGGCGCCGCCGCCCACGGCTCGCCCACCTGGCCCAGGGAGAGTTGGGGCCGAAGTTGGAGCGCAGCCATTGGCGGCCTTGCGCAACCTCGGCGGCCGAGGGCAGAGGAGGGGCAAACTCCTCACCGTCGGTTTGCCATCCAGGCCGCCACAGGCCACGGTCGGCCGTGAGCGGAGCGATGTCGTTGCTCCCGACCTTCACGATGTACTTGGTCGTCGCGATCTCGTCGGACCCCTCCTCGGCCACGAATGCACATCGCACGCGCTGATCTCAGCGTTGTAGCTACAGACGTTGGGCAACGCCTTCGCCTCCCACACGTCCCACATCTCGCTCAGGAGTGCATACGCCTGCTGCCACTGCTCGCCCTTCTCGCACGCGCTGATCTCAGCGTTGTAGCTGATGATGTTGGGCTTATGCTTCGCCTCCTGCATTCCGCTCAGCAGCGACAGAGCCCGCTGCCACTGCTCGCCCTTCTCGCACATCTCGCCCAGAAGCGCCAGCGCCTGCTGCCACTGCTCGCCCTTTTCGCATGCGCTGACCCAGCGTTGTAGCTGATGATGTCGGGCTCCAGCCTCGCCTCCCGCATTCCGCTCAGCAGCGCCAGGGCCCGCTGCCATTTCTCGCCCTTTTCGCACGCGCGGATCCCAGCGCTGTAGCCAATGACGTTGTGACTCAGCTTTGCCTCACACATCTCGCTCCGCAGAACCAGCGCCCTTTGCCACTGCTCTACCTTCTCGCACGTGCTGATACGCGCTGTAGCTGATGACGTTGGGCAGCACCTTCGCCCCCCCCCACACACACACACACACACACATCTCTCTCAGCAGCGTCTGCGCTGACTGCCACTGCTCGCCCCTTTCGCACGCGCTGATAGCTGATGGCGTTGGGCAGCGCCTTCGCCTCCCACACGTCGTCCGCGGCCCCCAGGGTCTCGTGCGGCGGCGCGGCCACGTACAGCTCCTCCGGCGCGATGGCCCCGGCCACCGCTGTGAGCTCGGCCTCCTGCTCGGCCACGGCCGACGGCAGCTCCCCAGTCTTGGCCATCAGCTCGTCCATGCGCGAGCCGCCCGTGCCGTCGACCTCGAAGCACGCCTCGAGGTCGAAGGCCGCAGCGTCGCCGTCCAGCTCGGACATGCTGAACGTGGGCACCCCAGACGCCCGCGGCCTCGCTAGGAAGGTGGCGATGATGTCCTCTTCCGTCGTCGCGCACGGACTCCGCCGGCGTCTGCTCCTTCAGCCCGCCGCGCCGCGCTCCCGCATGGGACTGCAGAGCGGCACCACTGCCCACGCGCTCGGCGCACGCATTCGCCGCCCCATCGCGGAGAGGCCTCACCAGGACATTGGCTCTCGGGCACGAGCCGTTTCCAAGTACGTGCCCGCAACTCCCCTGAGCCAAGCTCGGGAGGGAAACGGCCAGGAGGAGGAGGAGGAGGAGGAGGAGGAGGAGGAGGAGGAGGAGGAGGAGGAGGAGGAGGAGGAGGAGGAGGAGGAGGAGGAGGAGAGAGTACCACAGCGACCGACGAGGAGGAGCAGCGGCAGCAGCAGCGGCAGCGGCAGCGGCAGCGGCAGCCGCCGAGGCGGCGGACGAGCGAGCGGCGAGCGCAGGTCGACGAGGAGCGGCGGATCAACGCGGAGCTGCGGCAGGACATGGACGACCTGCGCGCGCAGATCGGCGTGGTGCAGGCCACTGGCGCGGCCACCGCGACGGCCACTGCGGCGGCCACCGTGTCCGCCACTCGGGCGGCCGGTTGATCAGGCGATCGCAAACACGGATCAAGGAGGCGTGGATCAGCGACGGGTCCCGTTTCCGTGGGCAATCGCGGACTCCCGCCGCCGAGCGGGGGCGGCACCGGCCGCATTCTGGGGGAGGGCGCCTCCCCCGATCCATGGAGTTGGCGACCGCGCGCCCACTCCCTGCGTCGCCACTCCGTGCCTGCGCGCCCCCCGAGCTGCGGCGGCCACTGCGGGCGGCCGCTCGAGCCGTGCGGGGTGACTGCGCCGGGGCGGCCGCAGGCCCGGCGCAGCACCACAGCGAAAGGGGCGCCATAGTGCGAGAGGCCGTGAGGCGACTGCGCCTGGGCGGCCGCAGGCCCCGAGCAGCACCACAGCCGAAGGGACGCTATTAGTGCGGGAGGCCGTGCGGGGGGCCGGACGGGGGGCCCCCGCGGGATGCCACTCGGGGGGCCAGGTGGGGGAGGCCGTGCGGGGTGCCGGACGGGGGGCCCTGCGGGGTGCCATGCGGGGGGGCATGTGGGGGAGGCCGTGCGGGAGGGCGCGCGGAGGGAGCACACGGGAGAGCATGCGGGAGAGCGTCGAGGAAGGAAAAGCGCCAAGCGCCACAGACATAACCTTCTGGCGCTCCGCGCGGGCTTCTTGGATCCGCGCTGGGCCCCCCCCCCCCCGCTGCGGCGCCTCCGGCGCCGCCCCTGGCGCGCTCCGCGCGCCAAGGAGGGGGGTCCAGCGCAGATGCAAGAAATCCGCGCGGAGCGCCACAAGTTTATATGCGTATGCCGTTTTTTTGTTTATTGTTATTATAATTTCTTCTTATTCTTCTTCTTCTTCCTCTTCTAGATCAGGCAGGAAATCCCGCGGGAGGTCGTACGGAAGACCATACGGGGGACAATATGGGAAGACCATGCGGGGGACCACGCGGGAGGCCCTGCGGGAGACCACGGGCCGCGGGCCATAGATTCCGCATCCGGAGGACCTCTCACCCAGCTTCAGAAGCAACATTCAGGAGGGGAAAAACCACACAGACACAATTAATCGTCGATTCCCCCGAAAATATGGGAAAATGTGGAAGTGTGTGGGGGGGGGGAAGACGAACACCCAGTTTATTTGTGTGTCCCAGGGCCCCTTCAAACATGGAGGACATTTTACAGACGAGCTGTTTCGGTAGAAAGCTCATGCCTTCTCCTCCTGCCAGGACTCCTACGCGAACGCCTGCGATCAGCTCGAGATGACGAGCATGGAGCTGGACAGCCGTACGGCCAGGGTGACCTCCGACCTCTCGCAGGAGCGGGGGAGATGATGGGAGAGGGAAGATGGGGGAAGCTTGGACGAGGACGATTACGGGATGATGGTGACGAGGACGACGACGAGGCTGTTGGCGATGATATGATTATGGCGACGACGCTGGCGCGATAGCGGCGACAGCGATGTTGATGATAACGACGATGACGACGATGACAGTGATGATGATGGTGGTTGTGATGATGATGGCAATGATGATGGTGGTTGTGATGTCGGTGGTGATGATGACGATGATGATGATGATGATGCTGATGCTGATGCTGATGCTGGTGATGATGATGATGATGAGGAGGAGGAGGAGGAGGATGATGATGCTGATGATGATGATGATGATGATGATGATGATGATGATGATGGTGATGGAGATGGAGATGGTGAGGGTGACTCCTCTCGCTTCGCGGGGTGTACGTCCTGAGCACGTACAGTCAAGTCGTTGTCGGGACTCTGGGAACTTCTTGGGGGCCCCGTGGAGGCCTCTTTGGGGCCTCTTGGGTCTTCGCGGGGGCGTCTGGGAGGCCTTTTGGGGGCCTCTGGGAGGCTTCTTGGGGACCTCTCGGAGCCCCGTGTGGGCGTCTTGGGGGCGCTCTTGCGCTGTCTGGTCCCTTCGGAGACTGTCTTGGGGTACTCTTGGGCCGTCTTGGGGGCCTCGTGGGGCATCTCGGCGGCCTCTTTGGGCTGTCTGGGAGCCCTCTTAGGCCGTTTTGCGACTCTCTTGAGGGCGTCTTGGGTCGTTTGGGGGCCGTTCGGAGGCTGTTTCGGCCGTCTTGGACCTTTAAGGAGTCGAAATAGGCGGAAACGGCGAAATCTTCAACACCATTGGAACACCAAAGAGTTGGACTTCTGGAGGCGCTCTTGAGGGTCCTCTTGGTGCCGTCTTGGGCCTTCTTGGGGCCTTGTTGGGCCCCCTTGGGGCCATCTTGGGCCGTCTTGGGGCCGTCTTGGCCCGCACAGAGGCCATCTTGAGCCGTCCTGACGCCCTCGTGGCCCTCCAAGAGGCCCAAGAAGCCGAAATCATAGATTTTATTCAGGTTTTGGTAAGTTCTGGGGCTCCAAAAGTGGGTCGCCAGATTGGGTCGATGGATGTGGCGTAGCCCCTGGGGGGGGGTCAGGGGGGAGACATAATCATGTAACACATGACAATGTGTAGCAATTACGCAATCATGTGATGCAATGGATACGTTGCATTACAGCATCCGCGGAAAACGCTGCCGCTCAGCACGTCACTTCCGGACGTGGATTCCTCTCGCTTCGCGGGGTGCACGTCCGGAGTACGTACAGTGAAGTCGTTTTGGGGGTTCTCGGGAGTTTCGTGGGGGCGTCTTGGGCCGTCTTGGGGACGTCTTTGCGGCCTCTCCCCTTCCCTCCTTTTCATACTCCCTCCCCATGTCCCCTTCCAGCGCCAGCACTAATCATGGGCGCCGCCGTGACCAACTTCACCTGGCTGGCGCTGCGCCGCACTTCGCCCAGGGGGGAAAACTGACAGTACACTCCAGTCGCTGTGTGGGCTTTGGGGGGCCTTTGGGGGGGCTTCTTGGAGGCCTTTTGGGGGCTTCTTGGGGCCCCTTGGGGGCGTCTTGGGGGCCTCTTGGGGCCTCTTGGGGGCGTCCTGGGCCGTATTGGGGCGTTTTTTTTTCTGCTGTTTCGCCCCTTTCGGAGGCCGTCTTGGGGCTCCCGCGGCCGCCTTGGGGCCCTCTTGTGGTCCTCTTGGGCCGTCTTAGGGGCCTCTTGGACCGTCTTGGGGGCCTCTTTGGGCCGTCTTGGGGCCCTCTTGGGCCGTCTTGGGGCCCTCTTGGGGATTTTTTTGGTTGTTCTAGGGCGATTTTGGAAGCTGCTTGGGCCGCAAAGGCGAGAACGCTGAAATATCGCCAAAACCATAGGACAACCAATGATTTCGGCATCTGGAGGCGCGGTTGTGGTCGCTCTTGGGGCCCTCTTGGGCCGTCATTGGGGCTTTTTGGGCCCTCTTGGGCCCATCTTGAGCCGTCTTGGCGCCCTCGTGGCCCCCCAAGAGGCCCAAGAGGTCGAAATCATTGATTTTCTATAGGTTTTGGTAGGTTTTTGAGCCCCGGGAGGGGGTGGCCATCTTGGGTCGACGGGTCTGGCGTAGCCCCTGGGGGGGATAGGGGGGGTGACATACTAATGTAACACAATACAATATGTTGCACTTATGCAATATTTGGATACATAGGATACATTGCATGAAGGCGTTCGCCGGAAAACGCTGCCGCTCAGCACGTCACCTCCGGACGTGGATTCCTCTCGCTTCGCGGGGTGCTATGCTTTGCATTGCGCTGCGCCTCATTTCGATGCATTGTGGGTATATGCCTGGAGCAAACGGATGTGCTTCACATCTTCAGGGAGCTCTTGGGCCAGTGGGTGATCTCGGGCTCCACTCCGGCCCCCACTGGACTGTCTTGGGGCGCTCTCGGGCCCTTTGCGGATTATCCAAATACGCTTCTGGGCCGTACTGGGGTCTTCTCGTGGCCATGTTGGGGTCACCTGGAGCCGCTGTTCTGCCCCCGTGAACTATCTAGAGCCCACAAGGTATCCGAGACGCGCTGTTGCGCAGGCCGCCTTGCACGCAAAACAGACAACGGCCACGGCGACGCCGATGGTGAGCCCTGCTCCAGGCGGACAGGAGTTGCTGATAATAACAGTCAGAAAAATAATAACAACGGGAGTCAGGGATCTTGGCCTTGGGCCCCCCGCTTTCCCAAAATTGTTTTCCCCCCACAACCCACTTTCGTCCCTTGCCCCCAGCACCGGCGCTCCTTTGCGAACGGTCCAGGGCGTTCCCTGCGCCTCTAAGAGGCCTCAAGAGCGCTCCGAGGGGACCTCCAAAAGGGCGGCAAGAGGGCCCCAAGATGCCAAAATCATGGATTTTCCGTGTGCTTTTCAATGTGTGTCGCGTTTTCCCGTTTTCAGAAGTCCGACGTCCCAAAACTTTTCAAAAAGCTTCCAACTTGAGGGCCCAAGAGGCCCCCCAAGAGGTCCCCAAGACGGCGGCCCAAGAGGTCCCCCAAACGGCCCAAGAGGCGCCCAAGACGGCCCAAGAGGGCCTCAGGGCAGCCCCAAGAGGGGCCCAAGAGGGGGAACACGAATCGACAATTCCAGGTTTCCGCCCCGAGAGGTCCCCAGGAGGCTCCAAGAGGCCTAAAGAGGTTCCCAAGAGGCCCAAAAGAAGAGGCCCCAAGAGGCTCCCGAAAGGCCCCCCGGTAGATGGACAAGTGTGTGACGAGCCGGCGTTGCTGCCGAGGCTCGCAACGCGTTCTGCCGGGGATCATTTCCCAGCGCGATGCTAGAAATCTTGAGTCTTGAGCCAGGTCGTGAGCACCTCGCAATGCATCTTTGGAAGGCAGCGTTACCGCTAAAATCCCAGGGATATTGAAACAGATGGCAGCGCAAGCGCAGAGCTGAACGGGACAATGCGGGAACAGGCGATAGCCCAGAATCTGAGAGTGCCACCAGTTCCAGAGTAGGCCAGATTAGGCCTTGTGCTGGGAGAAATGCGTTGAAATATCCACTAAGTGGGATACGGAAAAGCCGGTGGTGGGTATGCAGGTTCCACGGAGAATGCTCTAGACTTCAGAGGATTAGGGCCTGACGTGGCTTCCAGACTACCGCCGCATGCGAGCGCACAAATCCTGCCCCCCCGAGGCCAACTTAGAAAACATATAGCTTGTCCCGGCCGCGTGGCCGATGGACCGGGGGCTACCTGTGACAGTTATTGCCCGGCAGCCTGAGGAGGGGGTGGAATTCATTATTCGTGCATTTCCCCATAAGAAGTCTGTGTGGCAATCTAAACGGTCGCCTGCCGGGGCCGGCCGACCGGCCGAAGGATCGATTGCGAGAGGGAGGAGGAGGAGGAGGAGGAGGAGGAGGAGGAGGAGGAGGAGGACGAGGACGAGGACGAGGAGAAGGACGAGCTGGTGCGCTAGCGTCACATGGATGTTTACCGACGGCGGAATAGCGGCATCCAGCACTTATTACCTAACAGCGAAGACTGATAGGTTTCTAGTAGGGTCAAAAGAGAGCATCATGACGCCCCAGGGGGGTCTGGGCGCGATCCGGGGGAGGATGCCGGGGGGATGCCGGGGAATTCGTTTTCAGCAAACAGTAACGCACTTCGTGGTCTTCGAGTTCCCAGAACTCCATTCCTGGGTATGATTTTGCATGCCCAGAGCCAACTGTAGGCCACTTCGTGTTCTTCGTGTTCCCAGAACACCATTCCCGGGCCACATTTTGAATGGCCGGAGCCAACTGTAGGCCACTTCGTGTTCTTCGTGTTCCCAGAACACCATTCCCGGGCCACATTTTGAATGGCCGGAGCCAACTGTAGGCCACTTCGTGTTCTTCGTGTTACCAGAACAGCATTCCCGGGCCACATTTTGAATGCCCGGAGCCAACTGTAGGCCACTTCGTGTTCTTCGTGCTCCCAGAAAACCATTCCCAGGCTACATTTTGATTGCCCGGAGCCAGCTGTGAGGCTGAGGCTGAGGCAGGCTGAGGCTGAGGCAGGCTGAGACTGAGCCTGAGGCAGGCTGAGGCTGAGGCTGATGCAGGCTGAGGCTGAGAGGCTGACGCTGAGGCTGAGGCAGGCTGAGGCTGAGGCTGAGGCCGAGGCAGGCTGAGGCTGAGGCTGAGGCAAGCCGAGGCAGGCTGAGGCTGAGGCTGAAGCTGAGACAGGCTGAGGCTGAGGCTGAGGCTGTGGCTGAGGCTGAGGCTGAGGCAAGCTGCGGCTGAGGCAGGCTGAGGCTGAGGCTGAGGCAGGCTGAGGCTGGGGCAGGCTGAGTCTGAGGCAGGCTGAGGCTGAGGCTGAGGCAAGCCGAGGCTGAGGCTGAGGCCGAGGCAAGCCCAGGCAGGCTGAGGCTGAGGCTGAAGCTGAGGCAGGCTGAGGCTGAGGCTGAGGCTGTGGCTGAGGCAAGTTAAGGCTGAGGCTGAGGCTGAGGCTGAGGCTGATGCAGGCTGAGGCTGAGGCAGGCTGAGGCTGAGGCTGAGGCAGGCTGAGGCTGAGGCTGAGGCCAGGCTGAGGCTGAGGCTGAGGCAAGCCGAGACAGGCTGAGGCTGAGGCTGAGGCTGAGGCTGAGGCTGAGGCTGAGAGGCTGAGGCTGAGGCAAGCGGCGCTGAGGCAGCTGAGGCTGAGGCTGGGGAGGCTGAGGCTGAGGCAGGCTGAGGCTGAGGCTGAGGCAGGCTGAGGCTGAGGCTGAGGCCGAGGCCGAGGCAGGCTGAGGCTGAGGCTGAAGCTGAGGCAGGCTGAGGCTGAGGCAGGCTGAGGCTGAGGCAGGCTGAGGCTGAGGCTGAGGCAGGCTGAGGCTGAGGCTGAGGCTGATGCAGGCTGAGGCTGAGGCTGAGGCAGGCTGAGGCTGAGGCTGAGGCCGAGGCAGGCTGAGGCTGAGGCCGAGGCAAGCCGAGGCAGGCTGAGGCTGCGACTGCGAGAACAGCAGAATTCTACAACTGGATTCTCACCTAAATCTTAAGGGGAATGCTTCCAGATATGCTTCTACACATCGCTGTTAGGTTGCTTTGCCGGGATACGTTTGCGTAACTTATCCTTGCGATCTCTGAGGTTTCGGGGACCTTCGGGGTCGTACGGCCTCTTGCGTTATTGTGCATTGTATTGCATTGTCTTTCACTTGGTTGCTTTCCTACGGATGTGCGCAGGCATGGCTCCGCAAACGGCATTACGCTGGTGAGCATTGCTCTGCTTTGCATCTAATTGTATTGCATCGCATTGCCTTGCCTTTCATCTGCTTTTCAAGCTTTTGCTTGGAATGCTTCTCGCTGCATGGCGCTCGCATCTGGTTGTCATGGCGCTGCGTTGCATTGCATTGCAGTGCCATTGTGGGCACTGCATTCTGAACATCCTCTTCGCTGCTCTGCATTGGTTCGCATTGCATTGTATGGTTATGCCATTGTCTGTAATTGATCTCTGTTCGGTCCTCGTTTTTATTGACGTTTCGGTGTGCCTCATGTTCATGCCCTTTGTGGGCAACTGTTTCAGAGGATCTGTGAACTCGTCACGGCCTGGAGCTTGCTAGAACCTAAGTGCGCGCGAAGCGCGCGCGTGGTTCTAGTTGATTTGTAACGAGCGTCGCACCCTCCACGGGGGAAGTGCGCAACTTTCGGAGACAGGCTGGTCCTCTGTTACTGTCAAGAGGTCCGTAGTCGTTTTGGCTCAAGCCAGCTTGGAGTCTCGCAGCCTCACACCCCTCGGCTGCTAGAAGCCCGCCCTGCCGCGGAGTGATGGCGCCAGCGCCGCTTGCCGCTGCCCTGTTCCTGGGATCGCTGCTGTCGCTGGCGAACGGGCACGCGTACATCACGCAGCCCGCGATGCGCGGAGGCGCGTTCAACCAGCCGCTGAACGGGTACTGCCCGCAGTGCCTCGGCTCCTCCAGCCTGCCCCTGCCCACCTGCGGCCAGCGCAAGTTTCTGGACGTGGCCGGTCCCGTGACAGAGCTGCGCGCCGGGGAGTTGGCCGAGTTCGCGATCCGCATGACGGCGCACCACAAGGGGCACTTCGTCTTCAGACTTTGCGACAGGCATCTCGACGGCACTTCTGGCGGGTTCCAGGCGGAGGAGGCCTGTCTCAACGAGCACGTCCTGAAGCGCGCAAGGCCGGAGGAGGTGCACTCGGACTGCGGCCCGAACGACAGTCGCGGCGACTGCCAGCCATACGACGAGGCCAACCCCGGCTACTGGTACCTGCCTCCTCCCGGCCAGTCCGAGTACAGGTTCCACTACTGGATCCCCAGCAACCTCACTTGCCAGAGCTGCACGCTGCAGTGGTGGTGGATGAGCGCCAACAGCTGCACGCCGCACCGCGACGCCTACGCCTGCTACTTCAGGGAGATGGCCCGGAGCGGCTGGAACGCCGTCGCGTGGTGGGGAGGCGCCAGCGCCTCTGCCAACTGCCCCGCCGTGCAGGCGCCCCCCAGGGAGTGCGGCGAGCAGTTCAAGAACTGCGCTGACGTACGCGTCGTGGACGGCAGCGGCACCTTCGCGCCCACGCCGCCGCCGGCCCCCACGCCGCCGCCCACGCCTGCGCCCACGCTCGCTCCTGGCGCCGGCTGCGTGCACCAGACCGACTGCTCGCGCAGCGCCTGGTGCAACGACCCCAAGTTCACCACCTGGTGCCCGGGCCACCCGGCCAGCAACTGCCCGTCCCCCCACTGCACGGTGAGCGGCGGCCGCCCTGGCCAGGCGCCGACGGCCGCGCCGACCGCGCGCCCCACCGCGCCGCCGACGCAGGCCCCGTCCACGACTTCGGCGCCCAGGCCGACGCTGCCGTCGCCGGCGACATCTTCAATCACTCCCACGACGACCGGCAGCACGCAGCCGCCGACTCTGCCGTCGTCGACGGCGGGCCCGCCGTCCCCCACGGCGTCGCCGCTGCCCTCGCCGGCGCCATCTTCGACGCCAGCGCCATCGCCATCGCCATCGCCGGCGCCATCCCCGGCGCCCCCCGTGAGCACTGCTTGCACCGAGTGCGCTGCGACGCACCCCGGCGCAGCTTGCGTCTGGCCGACGGGGCAGTGCTACAGGGTGCTGGAGGACACCTGCGCGCACTTCCAGGGCACCTGGTGCGGTGGCGCGCCCCCCACGGCGTCGCCGCTGCCCTCGCCAGAGCCATCTCCGACGCCAGCGCCATCGCCGGCGCCATCCCCGGCGCCCCCCGTGAGCACTGCTTGCACCGAGTGCGCTGCGACGCACCCCGGCGCAGCTTGCGTCTGGCCGACGGGGCAGTGCTACAGGGTGCGGGAGGACATCTGCGCGCACTTCCAGGGCACCTGGTGCGGTGGCGCGTCCCTGGTGGAGTCCGGGCGGACGAAGACCAAGCGCCACCACGCGTTTCTGGGCGTCGCACTGCTTCAGGCGCCTGCCCTGGAGCTGAGGCAGCACGGGGAGTTGTGAGGGCCACTGTGGGCCATTTTTGACGTTGTTCGACGCGCGCGGCATCGGCGCCCAAGCAGCGCCGAGGCGTGGACTGCGCCGGCCCCTGCTAGGAAAGGTAATGTCCTGGCAGAGGGGGGGCGTGGGCACTTCTACAGACGCCGACGCCATCATTTGGCGCGCTTCCGCAGGCCAGTGTTTCAGCAAGAGCGCCTCGGAGGCACGACCCGCACCAGACGGGGCGCCCTTTCCAGCATTTCTAAGCGCATGGGGTTCTTCTCCCACCCGAAGGAGTAGTCACGTCATGCGAACAGCCAACACACAAGTCAACCGACAAAATGTCAAGAGGCATGTGCTGGCCCAGACACTGCGAACGTCGACCTCGAGGCCTCGGCCCTCCCCCCTCTCCTCCCCCTGCTCCTCCTCGCCCCTCCTCGCCAGAGCACGGTCGGCGACGTCGACCAGCGTGCCCGCCTGCCCGCCACAGCGACAGTCGCTCGGCCGGGCGAGCACGTCCCCGCAAGGAAGGGCCCCGCGGCTCGCGCGCATCGGCGCGCTCCCCTCGCGGGGCTCGCGCAGCGGCGGATGCCGCTGCGGCCCGGTGCGGCGGCGACCGAGGGGGGGGGGAGCAGGGGGCGCACCGATAAGATCATCTGCTCTCGGGCCCCAGGACCCCCGAAAATCGATCTGGGGCGAAACACCTCGTCGGATGGGCCCGCGGATGGGGTCCAGACACCGATTGTGGCCGATATTCGGCGGTGCGCCGGGGGGGGGGCCGGAAAGGAAAAGGCCTTCTCATAAGGCGGCAGGGCCTCTCAGAAACCCTTTGGCCTTCTTGCAAGTTTTCCTCGTTTTCGGGCTAGGCCAGGAAAACTTCTCAGAAGCTTTCTGAGAAGGCCTTCTCCTTCTCGCCCCCCCCCCCCCTCGGACTCGCCGCCGAGATAGCATTCGAACCTCGAAGAACAACGAAGAGAGTAACCAGTCGAGCATCTTGGATCTGCGAACGAAAGCAAACACGGAACCGGCAAACTGCGGATTGGGGGACCGCATTCGCGCGCGCGGATGGGCCATGCCTTCCGCATTCCGATGGCCAGGTGGCTCTCGGAGGGGTCTTGTGTCCTCTTGCGCGTCCTCTCCAATCAGCCTCGACTATATACATTACCTCTCAGAACTCCGCGCGGGTTTTTGGGATCTGCGTTGGAACGCCCCGGCGGCGCCCTCCGGCGCAGCTCCTGGCGCGCCAGGGGGCGGCGCCAGCGCAGGTCCAAGAAATCGGAGCGGACCTCCGGAAGTTCATGCTTACGCAGCGCTTGGTTCCCCCAGAAGTGCCACAAGCCAGGCCCTCGGCCCCCCACCGATAGAACAAGTCGCGCAGGGGCGGCTGGCGAAGAGCAGGCTGAGCCACGCGTGCAGCTTGCTGCGCATCGGCGCATAGTGCTGAAGCATTACCTGGCCTCGGGATTGGAAAGGACTGAAGTGTCTTCGCGAATCGAACTTGTTCTGGAGCATTGCGTTGTCCTCATGATCCGTTTTCATCGCTGGGATGCTTCGATGTTTGATGGGGCGGGGTGGGAGTTGAAACTGCTGAACATGTGTAGGTCACCCCCAGGTGCGCGAAGAGAATCGTGCATCGCGCGTCGCGGCCTCGTCATGAGAGCTGCCCCTCTCCAGGGTGGCCTCGTGAGGGCGCGAAGATGACCGCGGGCCGCGAATCGTCATCGTGGGCCGCGATTCGCGAGCTGAGGCGACCTGGAGACTCTTCGCGAGTCAATCTTGCTTTGGAGCGTTCGCGTGGCCCTTTGGGTGTCGGTGGGGCTAGAGTCCGAAACCATCCCGGGAAGGATTCGAGCTCTGATGCGTTCGCACTACATTCTATTATGTCGCATCTCAATGAAGGCACGACGCCGCGCAGTTCCGATAGGCACCCTGACAGGTGGACTCGGCATCGTAAATGCTCTCGTTATTGCAATCGTCCCCAACCAAGGTTTCTTCATGCGTCGTTCGACTTGCTTTGCATGAGTGGTGCTGTCTGGTGTCTTGTTCATGTCTGTTCCACGTGATTTGGGCGTTGTCCCCGCAAGCGTGCCATGTTGCACCGTGTGATGTCGGTCTGCGATGCATTCTGATGTGCTGTGGATCATTGATTCCATGGATGGCCATGCATTAGCATGCTGTGTTACGGTATCATGTGCGAGTATATGCAATGTTGTGCAGCGCCGTATTGAAAGCCATTTGGCGATCTCTCGCGTTGGTAAACAGTGCAACACCGTATTGAACCGTTCTGCGCTGTGTTACGCAACGCCCTGCTAATCATGCAACGCTGCGTACGTTACGCATGTGGTATGCTCCGCCTCGCTGGTCGCACCATGCTGTTACGCCGTGATATGCTAGGCGGTGCTTTGCATTGCGCTGCGCCTCATCGCGATGCATTGCGGGTATATGCCTTGAGCACAGCAAATGTAATTTTTCATATAGGTCCTGCCGGGATCATTGAATGTTTATGCCGTTGTTCTCTTGGGGGGGGTGCTACGATTCTCGGCCCAGGATGTGCTTCACATCTTCAGGGAGCTCTCGGGCCAGTGGGTGATCTCGGGCTCCTCTCCGGCCCCCACTGGACTGACTTGGGGCGCTCTCGGGCCCTTAGCGGATTATCCAAAGACGCTTTTTGACTACATTAGGGTCTTCTCATGGCCATGTTGGGGGCACCTGGAGCCGCTGTTCTGCCCTCGTGGACTATCAAGGGCCCACGAGGTCTCCGAGACGCGCTGTTGCGCAGGCTGCCTTGCGCGCAAAACAGACAACGGCCGCGGCGACGCCGATAGAGAGCACCGCTCCAGACGGACAGGAGCTGCTGTCGGTCTTCGTTGACATGCTTTCCATGGTCGGTCGGTCGGTCCGGCCGAACTACGGGGCCTGAGCCACGCAGCAACGTATACAAAGAACAATATTAAGAGTATAGTTATAAGAACAACAATCATACTACGAATAATAATAATAGTAGTAATACTAATAATAGATAATAATAATAACAATATTAATAGTAGCAGCAACAACAATAATAATAACCATAATAATAACCGGAGTCAGAGGCCCCGGGCCTTGGGCCCCCCACTTTCCAGGGCCTCCTCGGTGCCCGCAGCGGACGCCCACAGGCCGCCAAGACGGCCCAAGAGCGCACCAAGCCGTCCAAGATGGCCCCATGATGGCCCAAGATGCCCCCAGGAGGCCCCAAGAGCGCCCCGAGAGGACCTCTAAGAGGGCCCCAAGATGCCAAAATCATGGGGGTGCGTGCGCAGTAATGACTTAGCGGGGTTTGGGGTGTCGGTCTCATCGATCCATGTTGCCGTTGCTCCGAAGTCATCCTGGCTCGAAAGGTTCTGGCACCGAATGCAGTCGGTGATCGGGGTCGTTCTTGCCACACTGACTATCATCCTGCGGGACGCCGCCGAGCGCCATTGGAGCCGCGGACCTCTCGTGCCCGAGACCCTTCCCGCGGTGGGAGAGCCGACGCCTGCCCCCGCCGCGAGGGTGGAGGTCTCTTGTACTGAGTCCTCTCTGAACACCGGCTTGGTTGAGGACATCATACGACGGGCACTATCCGAGAGCTGCGTGTGTGAGCTGACCTGCGACTCGACGGAGCGGGACACTCGCCTCGTCTTCGTTGCGACCTTCTCGATCTGTGCTGGGCAGTCCTGCATCCTCGTGCTCTACTGTGGTTGGCGCTGGGCTTGCGCTTGGCGACATGGCGCTGGTGGTGTCTCGTCGAGAACGGCTCGGGGACGCAGGAAGGCCACTTTCGGTGCAGGAGTTGTCGAGTAGTCTGCTCCCAGGACGGATTGTAGCCATCAGGTACCCTGGCGAGGACCTCTCGCATTAGAGAGTTGTGATGGGCCCTGGGCTGCGCGATGAGGCGGGAGTCGTGACCAAGTGGTGGATCCTGACGCCCGACGGGGACTTCTATGAGGAAGACATCTCCATGGAGGCGGGCGAGGGCGAGAGGCTAGTGGTGCTCGACCTGGCTGGCTCCTGCCCTCGCGCGCTGCGCGGCAGGTTCTATAGGTTCGCAGGCGACGCCTATCCGAGCGATGACCGTGTCCGCCGCGAGGTCCAACAGGCGGTGGCTAGGATGCGGGCCGCTGGGCAGGAGCCTCCTACCCTGCTGCACTTCGTGACTGAGGACGGCGTCCTGGCCCCTCTTTCGGGTGTCGGGCGACGGCTCCGCCGAGGGGGCGCCGCTGGCGTGGGTGGCGGCGGCGCGGGGGCGGTCGTCGTTGACGATGGGGCCGCCGCCCCCGAGTTGCCCCTGCCGCCTGGGGCGGCGCCACTTGGCGGTGAAGCCAAGCCCGTCGCGGGCGAGGCCGTGGCGCCCTACCTGGCCGTGCTGCCCGAGCGCCCAGCCCTCCGCGAGGGTTTGGTCTGGCTGGTGACCGAGAACGCCGAAGGCCACGAGACGCTGGGCATGGAGGTCACCCCGCGCGCTGGCGACGTGATCATCACGACGACGGACGGCCTGGTCCACAGGCACGGCAGTTTCCTCCGTGTCCAGGCGGTCCCGAGCTGCGACTGCGTGGAGTTCGCGAGGGCGCTGAGGGCACGGTATGAGGGGCTCTCTGGCGCTGTGGGGCCCGCCGCCCTGGCTGCTCCACGCGCTGCCGAGCAGGCCCCTTCGGACGAGGACGCCCGCACGTTGTGGGTTGACTACGACGAAGTGGGAGAGAGCAGGGAAGTGGGAGAGAGCAGGGAGAGCTGGAAGAGGGCGGTGCAGGAGAGCAGGGAAGAGCCCATCTCCGCCGTGGAGGTGCAGGGCCCACCAGGCGCGCTTCACCTCGCCCGCCATGTCGAGCGATACGGGGGCGACCCGCGGCGCTGGTGGCAGGAGTTCGCGCGCGACAGCAATATTTCCAAGACGGGCCGCGTCTACCGTGAGATGACCACGCCGACGGAGAGTTTCAAGTTGTTCGGCGAGTACGATCAGCTGAACGGGGGCGCGTCCGCGGGCATCGAGAAGATGGCGCGGCGCATGTTGGGCGTGATAGGCGCCTACTCCGTGGGCGGCGGGGCGCCGTCCTGGCGCATGGCCGCCGTGTACGAGGGGGGGGGCTAGCTACGGCGACGCCATCGCCTCCGCCCTGCAGAAGTGGGGAGTGGACAAGCTGAAGGACCAGGCGGAGATCGAGAGTACTCGGACGCGCCAGCCGCGGCCCGCGGCAGAGGGCGCTGACGCGGGAGGCGGCCAGGGCGCCGCCGACGGCGGACGAGGCCGCGGAGGCGGCGGTGATGCAGGTCGGGGCGGGCGGGGCGGCAGAGGCTCCGCGGCCCCGAGGGATGGTTGACCAGGATGACGGGCTGTGGACAGGCCCTCCACGCCACGGCCCGTTGAAGGTGGGGGATGTTCGGGCGCCTGGTCGCCCCCGCCTCTTTGAGCAGTTTCCGCTGGCTCTTCCTCGGCGCGAAGCTGCACCTGCTGACGGCGGCCGTCGTCGCGGGCGCTACCGTGCTCGCGATCGCATACGTCAGTTGGCCGAGGCATCTTCCAATGCACTTAGTTGGCTCGCGAAGACTGATGCCCGCGGGCCCGCTGGGGTCCGAGGTCGCCCAGGTCG